CTTTAAACTCTGGCCCCTGCCAGGAACAATAAAGCACTGGCCACAGAAGGAGGAGCAGAAGAAGGGAGGAGAAGCCGAGAGACGTGCGCGACCCCACTCAGCGCAGCCAGTGAAACAGTGCAATGCCGATCTAAGGGTAGCAAAAGGAGACACAGAGAGAGAGAGAGAGAGAAAACAAACAACAAAAAAACAACAAAAAAAAAAAAAAAACGTGAAAGGAAGGGGCAATGCGCCGGAGAAACGATATATCCGGGGATTGGGGCCGGAGGATGGGACCGCATCGCCGATGTATCGCCGATGTATCGCCGATGCATCGGCGATGCATCGGCGTTGAAAAAATCAGGCTCCACATCGAGCCGCATCGCCAGTGCATCGACGATACGACACAATAGGCCTAAAAAAGCGTTGCTGCCTCAGCGGCGTCACGAGGGTGGCAAGCCAGACTCTCAAGCAGCAGACAAGCCAAGGGCTGGACTCCGAGTGCCCGCCGAGAGGAGGCGCCGGCGGCAGATTGGGAAGGCCGGGAACGCCAGCACGGGCACGGCGACGACGACGACGACGACGACGACGACGACGACGACGGCGGCGACGGCGACGACGACGACGGCGACGACGACGACGACGGCGACGACGACGACGACGACGACGACGACGACGACGAGCGGCGGCGGCGGAAGGCGGCGGAGGGCGGCGGCGGCCGACGCGAAGGGCGGCCCGCCGGGGCGCGGAGGCGGCGGGTGGGCGGCGCACCGCGCCGGCGGGCGCGGCGAGCGGAGGGCCCGGCGGCTTCTCGCGGCCGCGGGGCGGCTCCGGGCCGTCCACGGGGGGCTCCTGGCGGGGCTCGGCCGAAGGATTGCAGAAAGGATTGCAGAAAGGATTGCAAGAAGGATTGCAAAAGGGATCTGTTTGCAGTCCTTCGTGCCAAAAGGGTTTTGTTTTGCAATCCTTCTCGCAAAAAAGAGTTGCAGAAAGGATTGCAAAAAGGATTTTTGTTGCAATCCTTCGATTTTTTTTTTGCAATCCTTCGGACGGCGTTCGGGCGATGTCGTGGGCCCCTTGTCGTCTCGGCTCCGCTCCGCGGCGGGGGCGGAGCGAGGGCGAGCGAGAGCAGAACGGAGGGGGAACGGGAAGCGAAGCACCCCGTTCTGGTCGAGCCCGGGCTCCAGGTGAGCGCCGTCCACTCCAGATGTCGTCATACAAGGGAGGGGGGGAACCATCTTCATCTCGACACGAAAAAAATCAATTTTTCTTTTTTTCGAGAAATGCTTCCAGAAGCTCTCTCTTTCGACTCCGAGCACTCTTACGCGTGAAATGAGCTCTACGAGGTTCCCGGCGGTGACCAGGTTTCACAACCCACCCAGAGGAGCAGGGAGGGGGGTCACAACCCACCCAGAGGAGCAGTGTTAGACACCCGCCAGGACCATCCATGAGGGGGCCGCCTTCTGCCCAGACCCGGCAAAACCCTCCAAGGCAGCTCAAGCATGAATCAGATCCCCCCTTTTTGTCCCCCTTTTTGTTGTGAGATTTGTAGTAAACGATCCCTACCCCCACTGGCGTGGTCTTGGCTCTCTTGGCCAATGTGGCCCCCCAGGTGGGGGATCTACGCTGCTCCCCTCGGGCGTCGCGCGGCCTGCTGCCCAACTGAGGGGCGGGGGCGGTGGGGCTGAAGCACCATGGCCCGGTGGGTATGGGGAGGGGTCAACTGGGTAGTCGAAGCCAATCTGGCGCCAATCTGGCAGGCCCAATCTGGCAAACGGGGGCAATCCGGCGAGGGAGCCAACGCGAATCCCGTCTGGCGAATAACCCAAATCATCCAGTTTGGCCGGGCCAGATTGGCCCTTGGGGCCCAATCCAATCTGACAGTCTGGCCTTCGACTACCCAGGTCCAGTGACACTGTCTCCTGAGGCCGCAGGCCACGGCGGCGGCTCGTCAGTCGCCGCCAGCACAGTCGCCGAGTAGAAGATCGACTGCATCATCGATGCACCCCAGGATTGATTTTTGTTCGCCGAATCTGCCAACAAATACGTAGAATGTTCGTAAATCTACGAACAGTCTATGCATTTTTCGCACATTCGGCGACAATGTCAATTTTGGGGTAAAACGGAAATCTGCCGTGGTGGTCGGCCTCCAGGGGGCCCTCTGGCCAGGCCGCAGAGGCCCTGAGAACGCGGCTCACGAGGATGAAACTGGACCCTAGTGCATGGGGTCGAGACTGGCGAGGACCACGCGTCGAAAACATCAAGGCATCGAATGTCTGGGTGTCGGAGGTCTTCGGAGGTCTTCAAGACATGCCGACGTGGCCGGTTGCAGAGGCCCTGACTCCAAAAAGGCTGACGTCTCGAAACTCCCGGTGAGGGCCCAGGGTTCCCTTGGTCCCGGAGGGGTGACGAGCAGGGTGAGGATGAGCTTCGCCGGAGACATCCTCACAAAATGGGGATGTTGCGAGCGACGCTGGCCCGCGCCCTTTCTGGGAAAATGCATCCCAGGCGTCCCCGAAAAGGCCTCCCAAGAGACCCCGGGAGGCCGCCCAAAGAAGCATTGAAAAGCATCTTGACGACGACCCTCTTTTGCCCCAAGAGCGCTGCAAAATGCCATCGAAAGGCTGCTCCCTCCTCCTCCTCCTTCTCCTCCTCCCCCTCCTCCTCCTCCTCCTCCTCCTTTTCCTCCTCCTTTTCTTACTTCTCTTCGTTAACATCATCCTTTTCTTATCAGTATATCATCCTTCTCCTCCACCTCCTCCTCCTCCTCCTCCTCATCCTCCTCCTCCTCCTCCCCTTCCCCATCCTCCTTACCCCCACCCCCTCGTCCTCCTCCTCCTCCCTCCTCCTCCTCCTCCTCTCCTCCTCCTCCTCCTCCTCCTCCTCCTTTTCCTCCTCCTCTCCTCCTCCTCCCCTCCTCCTCCTCCTCCTCCCCCTCCTCCTCCTCCTCCTCCTCCTCCTCCTCCTCCTCCTCCTCCTCCTCCTCGGCGGCGCCGCATTGGCCCCGAACCCGCGGCGAACCCCCAGCGATCGTGCAATATGGGCCGGCGGAGTGAGCGAAGCGGTTGAATAACATCATACGGGCCACACGAGTGCGTCGGCCGACCATCATCGCCATCGGCGCGACCAGCATCGGCGCCAGCAATGGCCTTGCCGAGGTCATCGTCATCATCGTCGCCATCATCGCTAGTATCAAATAAATGTCCGCTCTTGTCGACGTCATCATGATGCCGCGCCCGCCCGAGTCGCCGACTCGCACCGAAGTGCCCGCACGTCAGCGAGGCCTGCGAGACGCGTTGGGGAATCCGTTGCGGTGAGCGCCACCATGGCCGCGTCGGTGGCGCCAGACTAGCTGGTCGCTCTGCGCGCGAGCTTGCGCGCCCGCAGCGTCGCGGCAGCCAGCGCCAAGCAGTCATCGCAATCTCATGGTTGTGTTCTGGCTTTGCTGTCTCTTGTCTGTCCAGTCCTGTCTTCGGTTTACTGCCTACTAGGGAAAGACGACGACTGGCGCAATTGTTTAGCACTTGGGCGAATACCCCCATTGAGAACACCTGGGGCGGAAGGGGAAGACGACAAGGAGGAGGAGGGAGCTGGTGGAGACCTGACGGGAGAAGGAACGAGAGACGGAGAAGAAGGGAGGAGAAGGAGGACAAGGCGGGAGAAAGAGGAGGAGAGAGAAAGGGGTGGAGGGAGGGAGGGAGGGAGGAAGGGGGAGGGGAAGGTGGCAGGAGGACGGGGCACGCAGCGGCGGCAGGCCGACGAGCGGCGGCAAACGCGGCGCGGCTGGGCCGCGCCACCAGGGGTGGGTCCTTCCGCGAGAGCAGCCAGCTCCTGCGGCGGTCGTCCGCGAGGCGCACACTGCGGTCGGTGAAGGCCTCGGCACGGCTCTCCATGTATCCGGCTGCTTGTCTGCAGTTATGCTGACTAGCGTGGACCTCGAACAGTAATGCACCGCACTGTTGAGGTGGAAGCTATGCGGCGCAAGTATGTGGTGCAAGCTATGTCGTGCAAGCTACGTAATGGGAGCCGTGCAGGTGAAAGCTATGCGATGTCAGCTGCGTGGGGCATTCTACGTCGTGTGGTACAAGTGGTGCGTATGGAAAGCGAAAGCCGCGCGGTGCTAGCCGCGTGGTGCAGGCCACGTCGTGCAAGCTATCCGGCGTGAGGTGTGTGGTGTGCGCCGTGTGGTGCAAGCGACGTGATGCAAGCTCAGCGCACGGGGCGCCCCCGCGCGCCCACGAGGAAGCACGGGCGGCAACGCGGCGAGACCTCAGCGGACCCCCAAAGGCGAGGTGGGCGGCAGCGAGCCGCCCACGGGCGGCAGCGCGGCGAGACCTCGGCGGCGACAACGAGGCGCCCACGGACGGCAGCCCGGCGAAACCTCGGCGGACCACCCCACAAGCGCGGCGGGCGGCAACGAGGCGCCCACGGGCGGCGGCGTGGCGAAACCTCGGCGGGCCCATCGAATTCCTGTGGCGCACACGCAGGAACTCCTAAGCGTAAGCGCTGTTCGGGGAACGCTTGCGTCGCTGAGAGGGAGGGGGTGGGTACGCCAAGGGGACCCAGGACGGAACAGGACGATGGCGGTGTCAGACCTGACACCACGTCTCACCGATAACCCTCTGGCAGGACGAGAAACGCTCTCCCTCTATCTCTCTCTCTGTGTACTACATATATATATGTGTATATAGCGTACTACATAGTTATATGTGTATATATAGCGTGTATCCATATGTCCGTATCCCTACAAATATATATGTATATATATATATGTTATATTATTTTATGTTATGTTAAGTTATGTTATGTGTTGGTATGCTATGTTATGTTATGTTATGTTATGTTATGTTGTGCTATGGTATGTTATGTTATGGTGTGTTATGTTATGTTATGTTATGTTATGGTATGTTATGTTATGGTATGTATGTGTGTATGTATATATGTATGTATATGTGTCGCGTCCGTTATATTTCTCTCTCGTTCTCTCTCTCTCTCTCTCTCTCTCTCTCTCTCTCTCTCTCCATATCTCTCTCTCTCTCTCTCTCCCTCTCCCGTTTGTTATCTCTCTCTCTTTCTCTTTCTCTTTCTCTCTCTCTCTCTCTCTCTCTCACGTCCTCTCTATATGTATCGCTCGCTCTCCCTCTCGATGTAAAAAGACGTACGGTTGCTTAGTAACTTGTCCCGTTCACTCTCTCTCTCTCTCTGTCTCTCTGTGTCTGTGTATAAAATTAATCAGAGTGAGGGGGCTGAACCGAACGGTCATTCACTGTCCCTGGGTGCGTGGCGGAAGTGGCATTCCGCGATGCGGATTATTGTTCGCGTTGGTGCTGTTAATGTTGTTGGTGTTGTTGCTGTTGTTGGTGTTGTTGCTGTGTTTGGTGTTGAACATTATTTATTCTAAAGAATAATTATTGTTGGGACCCCTGGTGCGCGACCCCCCTGCGCCGCCTAGGCCGCAGCCACGTTTTCATCATTTTCGTGAGGAAGCCTCAGGTAATACGATGTCATCAAGATCCGGTTGTTTTGTTCCCCCCCGCTGTCCCTTGCAAAAAACACTATCAAATGAAATTTCTTGTTCTAACATATCCAAACTTCAAGAATCCCTTGCAAAAAATAAGGTAAAGTGGACATTCGCGCGCGCAAGACGAAATCCTTCCAAAACCTTAGTTTTCGTAGCGATTTTAACATAAAAACATCAAAAACCAATGGTTTTTCAAAAAAAAATTGTCAAAATTTCATCCCGCGCGCTCTTGCGGATTCGTAGGAAACCCAACACTTTTTAAACATTTCTGTCAAACGGGCTTTTGCGAGCAACTTTTTCGAACTTCTGCGACAACGGTTGCGCACCTGCCAGGGCCATCATCCCTGTCAAATAATACCATCGGGACACATTCGTTTTTTCTTCGCGCGCGCACGCCGTCGTCGTCGGCCGCGGGGCCCTGAATAGTAGCCACGGTCGTCCGCATGCCACGAAGTGAAGTGTCCGAACGTCATAGGGCGGGAAGCTGGGTGTGGGTGGTGGCGAAAAGTCGTTTGGAAATTTGGTAGAGCTTGAACCGGCCCCCCCACAAAGTGGGGGTATTGCCCGCCTCCTATGAAAACCCTGGCACTGGTGAGAACGGAGTGTCCCCAGTTTTAAATGATTGTTGTTGTTGTTGTTGCTGTTGGTGTTGTTGTTGTTGTTGTTATTGTTGTTGGTGGTGTTGGTGGTGTTGCTGTCGTGTGTTATGTATTATGTGTTGTTTGTTGTTGGTTGTTTGTTGTGTGTTGTGTTGTTTGTTGTTTGTTGCGATGTTGTTTGGTGTTTGTTGTTTGGTGTTTGTTGTTTGTTGTTTGTTACTGTCGTCGTCCCACCCCGCGACCCGCCCCGCGACCCACCCGCTACCCACCCCGCGACCCACCCGCGACCCACCCGCGACCCACCCCGCGACCCACCCGCGACCCACCCTGCGACCCACCCGCGACCCACCCCGCGACCCACCCGCGACCCGCGACCCACCCCGCGACCCACCCAACATGTTCGGCGCCTGCGGCGGGTTTCTTTTGCATTCGTTCCAGGTGGAGAACCTGCGACCCACCCGCAGCCCAAACCGCGCCCGCGACCCACCCGCGACCCACCGCGACCCACCCGCGACCCACCCGCGACCCACCACCACCCCGCGACCCAACCCCGCACCCACCCAAAACTTCAGGCGCCTGCGGCGGGTTTTTTATTGCATGCGGCTCCAGAGAGAACCGCGACACCACCCGCGACCCCCAAACCGCGCACGCACCCACCCGCGACCACCGGCGACCACACCCACGACCACCCAGCGACCCACCCCGCGACCCACCCAAAATGTTCGGCGCCTGCGGCGGGCTTCTTTTGCATTCGTTCCAGGTGGAGAACCTGCGACCCACCCGCGACCCAAACCGCGTTCAGTGTACAAATCAAAAGTTTCGGCGCCTGCGGCGGGCTGTTTTTGAATTCTTCCCAGGTGGAGCTGGAGAGCCCGCGACCCACCCGCGACCCAAACTACGTTCACTGCAGAAGCCAAAACTTCGGCGCCTGCGGCGGGCTTCTTTTGCATTCGTTCCAGGTGGAGAACCTGCGACCCAAACCGCGTTCAATGTACAAAGCAAAACTTTCGGCGCCTGCGGCGGGCTGTTTCTGAATTCCTTCCAGGTGGAGGTGGAGAGCCCGCGACCCACCCGCGACTCAAACTACGTTCCTTGAAGAAACCAAAACTTCGGCGCCTGCGGCGGGCTGTTTTTGCATTCGTTCCAGGTGGCCCACCAGCGATCCCCCCCGCGCTGAACTTGTCAGAGCACGCAAATCGGCGCCTGCGGCGGGTTTGCTCGCATTGGTTTGGGAAAGCGCCCTCGTGCCACTCCCCCGATCCGGCCCACGTTGACTCTACAACAGCACATCGGCACTTGCGGCGGGGCTGTGTCTGAACACGTTCATTGACAATCCAGTTGCCTGCTGCCGAGGAGGAGGGGAGAAGGAGCAGGGCGAGGAACAGGAGGAGGAGGAGGACGACGACGACGACGACGACGACGAGCACGAGGACGAAGAGGAGGCCGACGACGAGGGCGAGGAGGAAAAGGAGGGGGGGAAGGAGGGGGACGACGAGAAAGGAGGGAGGAGGAGGTGGAGGAAGAGGCGGACGACGACGAAGACGATGAGGACGAGGACGCGGACGAGGAAGAGGAGGAGGAGCAGGAGGAGGAGGAGGAGGAGGAGGAGGGCGCCATCGACAGGGAAAGTGAGGGCCACGAGGTCCGCCGTCTCAACGCCCGCGTCGCCCGCGCCCGCCCCCTCACTCTTATCCGCAGCTGCGGGGTGCTACGATATACAGATCGAGCGTACACAACATGTCGATCCGTATACGCCTCCCCTGGGCTTGTTCCGCAAGCGCAATATTGGGGACACACCTAGCAGCCCAGCACACGGATCAGACATTCCGCGCAGTTCTCGTCAATCTCGTCCCGACTGGATCGGTGAAGCCTTGGATCATCCTCATCAACAGCGACCCCAAAATCTGCTTCGGGGTGCGTCCTGACCAGGGTCCCGAAGCGAGTCGAGCCGTGGCGATGAGGGCCCCAACGGGAGGCACAGCAGGGCGAGAAACAACAAAAACCGACTTCCAGAGCAGAAGAGCGCCCGCGGCTCCAGCGCGTTGATTGTGCGCCACGGGCGGCCTGCCACTGCACGCGCGCGCGAGTCCGGCGCGATCCAGGCCGATGGCCGGCCAAAGCAGAGGCGGCGCGAATCGCGCGCGCAAGCGCCAGCGCGAACCCCCGAAGGCCACCTCCGAGGGCCTCCGCAGGCCTCCCGAAGGCGGGCCTCCGAAGGCCTCCCGAGGGCCTACCCCGCGAGCCTCCGGGTGGGCCCCCCGAGGGCCTCCCGAGGGCCTGCGACGGCCCCACCCCCCGAGGGCCTCCGACTGCCTCCGACGGCATGCGACGGTCGTTTGACGGCCTCCGAGGGCCGAGGGCAGCAGGCGCGGTGCGCACGCGCGCGAGCGATCGCGGCCAGCCGAGGCGGCGGCCACGCGCATCTTCGGCGGGGGCGTCTCCAGGCCGGGGCTGCGCAGAGCCTCGCCAGGGAGCCGAGAGCGGGGAGGGGGCGGACAACCGGCCCCAGGGAAAGGGTCGGCGGCCTTCCTCCTCCTCCTCCTCCTCCTCCTCCTCCTCCTCCTCCTCCTCCTCCTCCTCCTCCTCCTCCCTCCCTCCCTCCCTCCCTCCCTCCCCATCACTCCCTCCCACCCTCCTCCTTCCCTCCCTCCCTCCCTCCCTCCCTCACTCCCTCCCTCCCTCCCTCCCTCACTCCCTCCCCCCTCCTCTCCCTCCCTCCCTCCCTTCCCTCCCTTCCTTCCCTCCCTCCCTCCCTCCCTCCCTCCCTCCCTCCCTCCTCCTTGGGCGGACAACTGCCCCCCAGGGGAGGGGGCGAACAATCTCCCTCAGGGAAGGGAGGGAGGAGTGCGAGCGCCGGCGGCGGGCGTCAAGGGGAGGAGGGATGAGCGGGCAGCGCAGGCTGGCGCGCAGCAGCTTGGACGGGATCGCCCGTGTGCCTGGGCCGCCTCCGGCGGCACTCGAGCGGGAACGCCCGCCAGGGCCTGTCGCGGAGGTAGGCCCCTGGCGAAGAGGCGCAGGCCCAGTACACTCCGCAGCTGAGAAACTGGCCACAGTCGGGAACTGCTGCTTGGCGTGTCGCGGCGGGGGCCCTGGCGACACGCTATAGCATACGAGCGGATAGCGTATCGCTCAGCTCCGCGGGTCGGAAGGGGCGGAGGAGGAGGAGGAGGAGGAGGAGGAGGAGGAGGAGGAGATGCAGGAGGAGAAGGAGGAGAAGGACGCTGACGCTGAGGGGCCGGGAAGCGGCTGGCGTGTCACTCCAAGGCGTGGTGGGCCAGAACGGGCGGAGAGGGGCACGCTGTCCCAAAAAGTCCCCGACCGCAGGGAGCCACGAGGGTTTCAAGGGCGCGGCTATAGGCCCTATAGCCGCTGGGTGCCTCCGCGCAGGGGGGACCCCAGGAGGGACCCTGGCGAGGAGGAGGGCCCTGGCGAAGACAGGGCCCGCGCGTAAGAGCCCACGCGATTTTTGATTTTGATTTGCGCGCGGGTGATCGTCTGCCGAACACTCCTGCCCGTGGCGCCGAAACGACGAGCGAGGGCCCGAAGAAGGGCCGTCGCGTGGGATAGGCGGGCCAGAGGGCCGAAGGGCGCCCCAGGAAAGCACCAGGCGCGCGTTGCCACGAGACTGAGAACTCGCCTTCTGGCAGGGGGCCAAAAAGCCAGCCTCGAGCTTCGGCCCATCAGCGGTCGAGCCCGCTGCCTGGTGGCCGAGAGCCCTGACGGAGACTTTCGAGAAGGGGAGCCCGTTGCCCGGTGGCCGCCGAGGGGGGCAGGTGGGACGACTTGGCCCAGGACGGCCCAGGGCGCCCCCAAGGAGAGCGCTCCAGACTGAGGCCCCCCAGGACGCCAACCCGAGAGACGAGCATCTCGAGCGCCGAGGCTCGACGCTCGAGGGTCAAAGGCGTCGGGCCCTTGGCACGACTTTTGCTGTGCTCTTTCTCCCTGGAGGCCTCCGGGGGCCGAGCGTGGCAGGAGAGAAGGCGGCGCGTGAAGACCCCCAATGGGAGTGGGTTGGGAGTTCTGGAGCTGCGGGTTGAGGGTGCCATGTGAGCAGATGTCGGGGTCTCTGGAGGCCTCCCGAGGCCTCTGGAGCCTCTTCTCTTCCAGAGCTCGGAGAAGGACAGCTACATCAGCATGCCGCAGGAGCTCGACCACAAGGAACCTCCCGTGAGAAATCCGACCCTGAGTCCCCAGGACGTCCATTGGTTTTTGGTGTGGGAGTGTCACGCTCCCACTAGAAGAACCATCGAAACCCAAGAAACCCAGGGCACCCTGCAGGCAAGCAGGGTGTTTCCTGGCATGGGTTTCCACTGTAGGGTTCGGATTGCGCCACGTGTTCGACGAGTTCTGAACCTTACCCCCGCCGCCCATCGAGACGCGTGAATCGTTGATCGGCGAGGGTAGGATTCGGCTTTCGCCGCCGAGCGGGGGCGCGGATGTGGACACGCTCGCCGCTCGTGAAGGGCGGCGGGCCGCCGGGGCCTCGTCGAAGGCCCTCTTCTCCGACGCATCGGCGGCGTCTCGCTGAGGGGCCCCAGCCTCCGGGCGCCCCGGGCTCCGGAGATGAGAGGAGGGGGGGGCGTCGCCGCCGCTGCTGCCGCCATCGGCGCCGCCGCCGCCGCCGTCGCGGCCATCGTCGTCGCCGCCGCCGCCGCCGCCGTCTCGGAGGCCGTCGTCGCGGCGGCCGCCGTCGCCGTGGTCGCCGCCCCTCGGTCGGGGAGGGCCGAGGCTCCGGAACGCCTGTGGGCCTCCGTGGGCCTCCAGGGGCCCGTGGCCCTCCGGCAGCGCCGCTGGGAGCCTCTGGAAGAGCCTCGGCGTGTGGGCCTCCAGGGACGCGTGGCGGAGAGACGAGGAGGCGGGCGAGGAGAAGAGGAGGAGACGAGGAGAGAGGGGACCAGGGAGGAGGGATGGGGGCAGGAGAGAGGGAGAGAGGGAGGAAGGAGGAGGGTAGGAAGGAAGGAGAGGGAATGAAGGGAAGGAGGGAAGGGGGGAGGGAACAAGGAGGGGGGGAAAGAAAAACAAGTAGAAGAAGAATATGAACATGAAAGGACCGCACCGAACCGAGAACCGAGAACCGTGACCGAACCGGACCGAACCGGTCCAAAACCAGGAACGTAGAAAACCGAACCGGACCGAACCGAATTCATTCAGAACCGAACCGGCGAGGACCGAACCGAACCAGAACTGGAACCGAACCGGAACCGGGCGGCCCCTGAACCGAACCGACGGGAACCGAACCGAACCCCTCTGGCGGGCTGCGACCCCCCTGGCGGGAGCGACCCCCCTCGCGGGCTGTGACATCCCTGGCGGGTGCGACCCCCCTCGCGGGTGCGACCCCCCTCGCGGGTGCGACCCCCCTGGCGGGCGCGACCCCCCTCGCGGGTGCAACCCCCCTGGCGGGCGCAACCCCCCTGGCGGGCGCAACCCCCCTGGCGGGTGCAACCCCCCTGGCGGGCGCAACCCCCCTGGCGGGTGCAACCCCCCTGGCGGGTGCAACCCCCCTGGCGGGCGCCACCCCCCTGGCGGGTGCAACCCCCCTGGCGGGTGCAACCCCCCTGGCGGGCGCAACCCCCCTGGCGGGCGCAACCCCCCTGGCGGGCGCAACCCCCCTGGCGGGTGCAACCCCCCTGGCGGGCGCAACCCCCCTGGCGGGTGCAACCCCTTTGGCGGGTGCAACCCCCCTGGCGGGCGCAACCCCCCTGGCGGGTGCAACCCCCCTGGCGGGTGCAACCCCCCTGGCGGGTGCAACCCCCCTGGCGGGCGCAACCCCCCAGGCGGGTGCAACCCCCCTGGCGGGTGCAACCCCCCTGGCGGGTGCCCCCCTGGCGGGTGCAACCCCCCTGGCGGGCGCAACCCCCCTGGCGGGCGCAACCCCCCTGGCGGGCGCAACCCCCCTGGCGGGTGCAACCCCCCTGGCGGGCGCAACCCCCCTCGCGGGCGCGACCCCCCTCGGGGCTGCGACCCCCCTCGGGGCTGCGACCCCCCTCGGGGCTGCGACCCCCCTGGCGGGCGCAACCCCCCTGTCGGGCGCACCCCCCTTGGCGGGCTGCGACCCCCTGGTCGGGCCGCAACCCCCCTGGCGGCGCGACCCCCCTGGCGGGCGCAACCCCCCTGGCGGGTGCAACCCCCGTGGCGGGTGCAACCCCCCTGGCGGGCGCAACCCCCTTGGCGGGTGCAACTCCACTGGCCGGCGCAACCCCCTCTGGCGGGCGCAACCCCCCTGGCGGGTGCAAACCCCCTGGCGGGCGCAACCCCCCTGGCGGGCGCAGCCCCCCTGGCGGGTGCAACCCCTTCTGGCGGGCGCAACCCCCCTGGCGGGCGCAACCCCCCTGGCGGGCTGCAACCCCCCTGGCGGGCTGCGACCCCCCTGGCAAGCGCGACCCCCATGGCGGGCGCGACCC